AGATTTATAAAGGCAACGAAGTCGCCATTAAATACTCTAAGAGAATTCAAGCTGAATTATCCATCCTTAAGAAATTAGATACATCACCATATATTCTACATTTTTATGGTCACGCACAACTGATTGACAATAGAGAAGTTATGATTTTTGAATGGGCTGAACATAAAAGTTTAAAAGAATTTTATGATTCTTGTGATATCTCTTGGACGAGAAAAATAAAAATTATATATGATATTTCCTGTGGTATTATTTTCCTACGTTCGAAAAATATTTTTCATCAAGATATTAGATGCAAAAATATTTTTGTAAGCATTATCAATAACATTTTTGATTAGAGATTGACAATTTATTAAATGCATCGTTAAATTATTTTAGATAACACGAAACATGACTCCAAAACTCGGAAATTTTGGTCATGAAACTCAACTAGGAAAAGTTATTCATTGGATGGCCCCTGAACAGATAGATAGATATCAAAATCCATGCAAAAAAAGTGAAAATAAGTTAGAAAACATTATTCGTTGGATTGCCCCTGAACGGATTGATAAAAATCCATGTGAAGTATGTGAAAAGAAAGAAGACGATGAAAATCCATGTGAAGTATGTGAAAAGAAAGGAGACGATGAAAATTCATGTAAAGCATGCGAAAAGAAAAAAGAAGATAAAAATCCATGTGAAGAATGCCAAAAGAAAAGATACACACAACACAGTGAAACATTTAGGTATTTGTTATAATATTCAAAGGTTATTCTTTATCCGTGTTTAATTTTATTGTTTTTCATAATTAGTTTTGGAATGCTTATTTGGGAGCTTTGTTATGAAAGAATTCCTTATAAAACTTGGAATTCAAAAAAAATATCTGAGCATGTTTTAAAAGGCAAGCGAGAAAAACTTTTACCAGGAAAATTCAACAATACCATTGATGGAGATATTCAAAGAAAGCTCAAATAATTGTTGAAGGCAAGCTTAAGTTATTTAAATTAATTCTCTTTTCCGATTATACTAATGTCAATCTATTTCTCTTAATTAATATATAGCATGGAATCATATATCACATATACGAATAACTATCATAAAACTGAATAAAATACTCAACGAATTAACCACGACCTATCCGATTCTTCTCGATAGACAAATTTATATTTCATCGGAAGCAATTGAATATTCAAATTCTCTAAGTGAAAAAACAATTAAAGATAATTTGGGTAATAAAATATCCTTTTAGTTTGGTAATTAACCAATATTTGACAAATAATACAATTCATATTCTTTAGAATACGAAGTGAGAAAAATTTCAACTGTAATACCATGGGAAGAACTAAAGTTTACGGAAAAAATTGGGCAAGGGAACTTTGGTATGTTGATACTTATTAAGCTATTAAATTAAACTATTGTTAATCAATCAAATTATTTAGGCACTATAAATAAAGCTATTGGACGAAGACAAATGAATATGTTGTTTGCAAAACATTG